ACCTTTTTATTGACTACGATGAGATATTTTACTGGGTGGAAGATGGTTATAGACAAACCTGATACAAAACTATCATCATCTTCATCCGGATAAATTTCATCACGATCCACCGAGAAATCCGTTGAGCAAATGCAGTAGCTTATAAGCGAAAGAAACGACAACGGTACGCCGAATAAACACAGTGTTAACAAAGGCTGTGCTCGGAACATTTCCGAAATGTTCGTTACTACCTAAAAATTGAAAAGAATTATGATTAAGCCGATTGCAGTCCAGTGCGTCATAACAAGAATACAGACTATTTTTTGTTGAATCGAGTGCTCCATAGTGACAAACACGGAAAAGGCCGTGCACGAAAATCACGCGTAAATGAAGACTGAATTTGAAGATTTAAGTTTTATTTGGACGGGGGATATTTTCCTAAAATCTGAGCCTCCCAGCTTTTCTGATTCCCGAGTTAGTCATTTACCAGCCAAAAAAGTTTCACGGGGCCATATAACACCAAAGCTCTAAACTTACAGCCCATAGAAATCCCTCTGATGATCTCAAGTTTATGGCTCGCGCCGGTTTGGAGAAGTCAGTGACCATGACCGCGTTGAATGATCATCAAGCACAAAGCAAAGATCGAAGCCACTACGAAAATTACTCTCAGCCAAGCTAGATATCCGTAGCTATGAACCAGTAGCAACTGCTTACTCTCTCTTTTCATAATATGCTACGAATGGCAACATTCATGGCGAGGTAATGGTGCTTATTAAACACCAAAGACATTTGGCTAAAATCTTGCCAACGGTTTCCCTTAGTTTCAGGAACCGAAACGAATGTTAGGATCGCCAGCAAGCTGACCACAAAGTGCAGCAGCGTTGATAAGAGCAACTGAAGGATCAGATTACTGGGAGCATTGCATTTGGAAGCTAATGCGTCTGTTGCATACAAGCATGTTCCCGTAGCGGTGATGACCAATGTGCATGAATATGGAAAGATACCAGAAAATGAGTTAATTGGCGCCAAAGACAGCAAGGGAATGCGGCACAGCCAATATGGAAAAACGAAGAAAACAATAGAAAAACGAAAAAAAAAAAAAAACAAAGAAAAAGCATGAAAAATAATAGCCAGAGATGATCACGCCTTTAAACAGCAAGGGAATTTGGCACAGTCAGTATATTTAAAAAAAAAAAAAAAAAAATGAAGGGAAAGCAGGAAAATAACGAACACAATCGCAATAATTTGACCAGCTGACCAATAGATAATGTATTTTTTTTTTTTTCAGTATCAATTTAAAAAAAAAGAATACGCAAATACCTCGTAAATTATACGTTTGATTCGTTGTGATATTGAACGACCACCAAGTGCCGGTACTCCGCCAGCTGTTATACGCTCCAGAAACGAAATAATACTTTTTTCGGTCATCGCATTTGCTGAATCAC